CGGAATGAACGGCAGGAAATCATTCCTAATTGCCAAACATTCATTCCTGTTGTTCATGAGTGGGTTCCTGCTTGAGATCCACAAGGCTTCGAGAGCTTTCCGCGCAGCTACGTCAGCCTCGTAAGCCAAAATCGTACATTTAACCTGATAGTCGTGGTCACCATGCTCGTCGTGCTTATGCCTTCCGAGAGGTGAAATCAGACTACCTTTCCTTTTATTGGCTAGATGTTCTTTCATTCTCGCACCAAGTGCACGTCCGGTTTCTCCAATGTACGTAGCGCCACATGTTAAACAATCTATCTGATATACTACCTCGGTTTTGGCGCAATCACCGACATTGTTATACGGGCAAATCGCACATTCTTTCGAAATGCAGTATTTGTCGTATAGCCTATTTCGCACAAGCCGTTTCTTGATATTATCGCTTGGAATGCTAACGAGAATGATATCATCGCGCAGCTCTGCTCGCTCGATGCTCTTCTGTACAGCACTACTGACTTCTAAGATGAAAGGTCACTGCTTTTCGATTTTTGTAATCTACCGTGCCTATAGTGCACTTGGTAGCCATTACTCCGAGCAACGCTCAGCGCCATAGCACAGGACTCTGTCCGCTCTTTATCTCCTGTACAGACTTGCGCTGCTGTTCTGAACATGTTTCGTACAACGGCATGTTTAACAGCAGAAGGATGAGAGGATTGAGCGTGCAGTAAGATGTTCTTTGAGCTTTTCTTTCGATACCATTTCTGCTAAAGGTAGAGCTTGTCCTCCAGTTGGAGATTAGAATGAGGTACATCGTGCTGGGCAAACAGTATCTCTTAACGTAAATTGCAAAATAGTACTAATTAGCAGCTTTTCGTTAAGTCTTATTAAACAACATGTCGTGCCGTAATCGGAGGTAGTGGGCTTCCAAAAACATATCGTACGCTCACGCTCACGTAAAGTTTTCTGAGAGGAATGATATAAAATCTAAACTTAGCCTTTACGCTTCCCTTTGTAAATTGTAGCTGCCAAAATTCTTCCCATTGCTCTGAACAAATTGCTGGCCTTTCTGAGATATCTCCAGTTCACTGTGATATCTACTACAATCCAAATCACACTGGTTGGAGTTTGATGGCGGACGCGTGAGCAAATCAGTTTGCAATCATAAAGCAAATTTGGGAGTTATTTTGCTTATCAGTAGTCAGATCAGTTGGATACAAACAATCAAACACTATATACACAAACTCGCAGTTTCTACAATGTTGCCATAGAATTGGCAAGCGGATCTCTGAGAACGAGCTCTAACAAGCGAAGTTCACTCGGTCGAAGGCGATTCGAAAGGTGGTGTATACCACGGATAAAGCTTGAAACGCTGATTTCAAGTTTAGCTTCTACATCTACGAAGTATTTCCTATAGGAAGTTAGTTATATTTATAATGCAAGTGGTTTAGAAGGAAAATGACGACCTGTGTATAACAACATGGACGGACAACACCCGAAAACTTCCCTGTTAGGTGCTCTGATCGAGCCTGCATACTTTCGACTAAAATGTACGAAAATTTGGCATGAGTCATAACTTTCTTGAAATAGCGCATCACAAGTATAGAAGGTATATCTGACATCAGCGTTTAAAATTCCACCTATGGATATACATCACCTTCGGAACTTCGATTAAGCGATTTTTCCTAGTAAGTTCTACGTGTCCATATATAGTGAAAACTCCTTATCAAGCAAATTCAGGCAAGCGAATTTATGTATAAATCTTGGATGTCAAGCAGATACTATATGGGGATGTTGCGAAAAACTTGAAAGAGGTGAAATTTAGTCTTCAAGGCAGTAGGGTAGATCAAACCACAATTTGTGAAATGCCTGCCACGCTTCATAACACAGAGTCGTGAAACACCAGAGCTTATTATTACTCCTCTTGTTAGCAGCAAATTTGGTGGTGATGAGTACTAACAAGTCATTTTTTCACCACTCAGCGGTGAGAGAAATTTTTCGGCAAAGATACCCAAATCTTTTATTTATACATATTATAGATGTAAGAAATCGTGTTTCTTCTTCGTGTGTGCAATTGTGCCAAATTGGCATCAGATCATCGGCTGTGCACTGCAACCAAGCCATAAACTTTGTACAAGAAGAGTTTGCGCCTTTGCGTGGTTGTGTGATCGCGTCGGTCTGGCACCCTGCTGGCCGGCTTCATTTTGCGTTTGCTTATACGGAAACAGAGTGGGCGTCTGCGTCATTTTGAGTCTGAATATACCATGAGGAAACGGAATGGGCGAGGGGAGGGGGCGTGAAAGTATATTGTTTCGCGCTCTGCATGGCATCCGTAAATATGATATTTGGCACTTTAAAAGAGTAGGCGAAAATACCTTGAAAGTGTACTACCTCCTGGTAATGTCTTCGCCAACATTTTAGAGTAACAGTTGTTCAAGCCCCTCCCTTTATGTACTTACATATCTTTGTTCCCCTGTAACAATTTCCATGTTAACTGCCTTCTTTCTCCTTTTCTCTTCGACGGATCCTGCGAAGATAAACTTGGAGAACATTTTTTATTTGTTTGTGTTGATCATTCATTTAAGGTTCGAAACCGGTTCAATGGTATTGAGCAAAAACGTTATGCTTGCCACCTTGCTTCTTCTCTCTTATTTTTTTCTGTGGTTGTTCTATCAGAAAATTGCCTAACACAAAAAATTGCAGACCTTATTTTGCTTTTAGTAATTCCCTTGGGCTCAGAATCGTCTCATTTGTCATCATCTTCTTGGAGGTGCAATTTATCCTTGCATGGTCGATACGTTATCCTTTTTTGTAGTTGCTTTGGCGCAATCCCCGCCTGAGCTGAGAGAGGTATACAAATTTTTCTACTTCCTTACGCTTACTGCGTTACTGGTATGACCAGGTCAAACTGGTGTGGCGTGCCACATCTGTGGATCGTTTTGAGGGGTCAGGGAGGTAAAGGGGTTGTTATGGAGGCGGTGACTTGATGTTAGCGCAAACATGATTTTCGTTAACAGTGTATAGGCCCTTAATAACTAGCACATGTTTTGGCCCACCATCGTATGCGTACGGTAAGCATAGTAAAAAACCTATAACAGCATAAGCATCATTCTTATGATAAGCGTGTCGAATAACCCCTGTGGACCAAGTTGAAGCGAATTTTGAGGTTATCAAGTATTGGGGCACCCAAGTGAGATGGTCATATTCAAACATGTTACTTTTGTTTCAAAATAAGTTAACTATTATACATCTTCTTGCACTTGATACAAAGAACTACTACCTTCGCTCACAGTAGGAATCTCACTCCAAATAACCTACAATCTGTGGAATTAAGAACGGGCCAAAATTTCGGTTCCATTTTTTGCTTTCAGTACGACTAGAGAAGGCCAATCACAGTTAAACCACTTTTGTGAAAGTGATGAGGCTTAAACCATCGATTATATGTATTCTCGCCGCCTCGCCTTGCTATTCACGTAGTAGCGCAGACTTAGCATGTTGTCGTAGCCAAGTATTTTCGCAGATTTTTCCACTTGCACAAACATGGAAAAAATACTGAATTTGGGATCAAGTTATACATAGTTCGACAACAAAATCTCGCAGTTTTCATGGAAGTGATTAGAGCCAAATTCGTCTTTTATTTGAGCAACAGTTGCTGAAAGCACAACCACTGCGAACGGAAAATGAGACGAATGAATTTTGGCTGGCTCCCAATTCCACAGTTTAGAGGTGTGTGTGTGTGTGTGTGTGTTTTCTATTACTTTATTTTATTACGTTCCGCTTTGTGGTTCGGACAGCTTCGAAGAGTTTAGAGTGGCTAAAGTGCTAAACTAAGTCATAGGCGCAAGACCCGCGAGAACGCAATTTAAATGGTGGGCTTGAAGCTTTGGAGTGTCAACTGATTACACATTTTGTTTGGCTCAAAAAGTGACACAATCTCTGCAATATGAGTTTGAGTCTTATAACTTGTTGCGTCATAGACAACCGAAAAGAGGGCTTTAGAAGAGGCTTTACGACCTAAGTTCGTATTTGCGACCGCGGTTCCTTCCTTACTGCCTTGTCTACTTCTTTTTCTGTGATAGTGTTTAGAAGAGATCATGTTGTGTGCGCAACGATGATTGTAGAGCGATCCGTCAACTGACACTTATCGACATTTTGTAAGCATGAAGCTAATCGTCGATCGCTACTCATTACTGTAGGATCAAGGCAGGAACAAGAGGGTTCCGCAGTTGAGCGACAATCTTTCCTTGTTAAATATCTTGGGAGGACTAAGATTTTGTACCGAGTAGGTTAGAATCGCTGTTTTTCAAAAAAAAAAGCACTGCACGATACCGTAGACGTTTTTCGAGAGTTATAGGCTACGTCGAAATCGTCACTCATTACAGTGGCTTCACACATTAGGATAAAGCTATTTGGAGTTAGCGCTTTTGAAAACCTCACACTAAAACTCTAGATGTTTTGGAAATATTCTAAAATTGTAGCTGATTTGCAAGCACGTGAAGATGAAAGTTCCTACCGCAATATACAGTAACGAAGAGAGATTGATATTTCGCTTTATACTGTAAGTCTAAGTTGAAGCCAGCTCTACAGAATGGTACCTAAGTTGGGTAAAGACGTCAGCGCAAGAGAGTTTTTTGGGCCAGTAGGGATAGGGATACTTCGCCACTTGTATATAGAGGAAGCTTGCAGCGATTTGTATTATACCAAGGAATCTGTTGCTATATATTCTCCATTTTATTAATAGCTGAGCAAAATAATCGCAACCCTCATCTCATCAACTCATATGTATCAATAAAGCAGGTGTACTCGTTCTTGCTCATTAGGGAGAAGCTGAGAGGAAAATGACGACTAATTACGCACTCCCTCACGCTCGATTGCACATCCAAAACCCCAACATCATTCGCCGTGTGTCATGAAACATCATTAATTTGTTGCCGTCCTGCACGTTTGCATTTTTTCATTACCTGATTTCTCAAATTGTGCGGGTACTTTGCGAAAATTACCTTACTTTTTCCTATTTTGCAGATTCAGTCGAAATGCCGATAAGGTGATCAAGAAGAAGCTGCTGAACTGCAGCTGCGAACAAATCAGCATGAGACCTTTTCGTGAGTTTCAACTTCTATCTTATGCGCCATGATTCACTTTGTAGCTCTTCCACTCAGCATCTGCTTGTTCTTCCAACAAACTCGCTTGTTCAATATCTTCAATCTACTGACGTACCTGACTTTTTTCGCCAATTCACTAGGCTATTCCCAATAGCAACTAAACGACAATTTGTCTCAGTGCACGTTTTGGCTAATGTCCTTGCTCAACACGTCTCACTGCATGAACTTCATTCTCTCGTTTTCAAAGCTGGTAACAATCCGACAGTATACTTTTCGTATTGGTCATACGTGATTGCTGGAAACATGCTACTACTTTATTCTTTAAAATCCTTATGATGCTAATTCTACTTTCTATGTTCAATGCGCTTTTTTCCAGCTTTTATTACAGTTCTTATCTGTCTATTCTGTCATTCCTTAGCTGACTGTGCGAGCTAATCACACTTACAAACAAATCGGTCACATGGGAGACCTCTGTTGGATGACCGAAAATATGTCGGTTGTCGGATCCGTATCGCTGCTGTGGAGAATATTCATCGCAGATGTTTTGCTTCTATCAAAATCATCCTCCTGACACACTTGTCAAAGTAAAATTAATTTAGTTCTCATGTATGAAGTCTTCTATTAGGTTGGCACATAAGTAATGCAACTTTTTATATAACTTTTGTCTATTTGAACATATCGCCTTCATTCTTTGGCAATATAAGGAATATGATGTAGGCTTCTAACGCACATATTTTTGCCAAATTTTACCATATGTGAGGATTACGGTAGGTTTACGGTACTATGGGGAAAATTTTAGAATGCATCAGATTTTGCTGAAACTTGGCCTATAGGGCTTATTTGACATGCTGATCACAAAAATGAGATCCGTTTTGCATGAAAAGGCCTCGTTCGTGAGATCAAAAAATGAATTTCATTTCAGCGACAAATGAATATGATATTCGTGTTTACCGCATAGGATTACCCTATAGTGCAAAGTTATAGCGAATTCTGACTTTTCGCAGCTTAGTTATTGACAAATTGCCTCCAAAACTTGACGCATTTGACTTGTTCAACTTCTCAAAGGCGCCACCTTAATTTGTGTTTAAATTTCATTTCTTTTTCACTGATTCCAATGTGCCAACTTTCAGCTACATGCTGCCTATAATTGCTTTTTCATATGTTTGAATCAGGTTTCGTAGGGCTTCATGTTTGCCAAAAAATCGTGAAACCTCGATTTTCAACAGTTTTCAAAAAATGCTTAGATTTTTTGTACTACGTTATCAAAAATCAAACGGTTTGCGCAGACTTGCAGCTTACATGACGATCTACATGTTGCCACAAAATGAGATTGCTACATAAAATAGGAAAAAAGTTACGGGAAAAGTTGCAAAACTTATGTGCCAACCTAATAAATCTGGTTTAGTTCCTGATTCTTTACTGCATATCTTTTAGTACTTCGTATAGTATAATAGATGCAATTTCTCCATTTCGAGCAATATTGGGACTAACGAGTTTTGTTTTTCTGTGCATCCAATTCGGTGTACCTTATCTGCCCTGCATTGTCGAAGTGATTTTGTGAGAACCATTCGATATGTTAGTTTTACTTCGGAGCCGAAGTAGAAACCATGCTAGTTAATTCTATTGGTCAAAATCTTCTTTAGGACCTTTGAGAGTGCACACTCACCACGATTTACTAATTGTATTTACTTCAATTGAAAGTGGACAACAACACAACTCTTGGCATTACATGCTTCTTCAACGGAAAATTACGAGCAAAATTCACTATATGACTTCAAATGACTTCTCTAATTTTTTGTTAAGTCATAAGCGACTAGCGCCGTCAACGCCATCAAAAAGAAATTCCTGTTTGGGGTCAGCGAGCCCTAGTGCAGAGGCTAGCTGACCACTTTCCGAAGACGAAATAAGAGTTTTCGAAAAGGCAATAAGACCTACAAAGGAAAAAACAAGAACAGCAAAGCATTCTTAAAAAAAGGGAATACTCAGCACGAAACAAGAACGAATTAATAAATATTAGGTTGTAAAGAAAGTTTCCGGGCACTTTTGGAAATTTCGTTTTCAAACGCATTTTTTCGGCGCTCGGTCGGATTTTGACACCAAGTTTTTTATACTGTTCAGTAGTGGGAAGCCTGAAGTTTTCAACAAGCCTTCTGACTTTTATCGATGCCAAGACTTGTTTGATCTGCACGTCAGGAAGAGAAATTTTTCCAAACACAAAATTTTACAATTTTTCTTCCTACGGCCATTTTTTCCTACATATTTCAAAGAATTTCGTCCAAATCTTGGGCGATTTAATTGAGAAGCCTATTAACTTCTGACCACTGCTGCACTCGAGTTTTGCGATTTGTGCTCAGGAATTACAAGCTGTCGAACTTGCCTCTGACTTCGACACTTTTCGCAGCTGGCGTCGCTTCTGCGGTATCGCCACGCCTGGATGATGGGTCTAAAAGATGTGCAGGGCATTACCCCAACAATGTTCCCAGTAATCAAAAATTTGGTCCTTTCCGTGCAGAAGTGGGAGACTTCAAAGTCACTTACTCGAAAAATGGTGCATTTCTAGGGGCAAAAAATGGTCGTTTTTTGAAACATTCTGGGGAAAAATTTTTGCAGGTGGTCCTTCAAAACCTTGAATAGTCCCCATAACAGCTCCAGCAAACCTCTATATAACTACAGCATCTGGGCTCTTCAGATCTCATCATGCCTGAGATAATCCTGCACAAATAGGTCACTTTTCGCGACGACCTTTTTCCCTTCTTCGTATGCTGGTGGACCGCAATGAGGTGCTGAGAAGTCAGCAAGACAAATATATGTTGTGGAAAAAATTGTCTTTGCAATGAAGTTTGTAGCTTCAAAAAAGAGCAGATCTGCTTGAAGTTACAGCGATTCGAAAAAAAAATTTCACAAGTGCCCGGGAACTTTCTTTACAATCTAATACGAGAGCAAAAAATAATTCGAGGGGTTAGATTATACAAAAATGATAGAGGCAACACTGGAAGTAGGTACATTTTTTTGCTATTTTTGACCAAAAAAATCAAAGGGGGAAGGCACAGGGTAGAACGAAGTCGCTCTTTTGTGAGGCACCATACATCAGCTGGATTTTGTTGCTGAGAAAAGGAACGCCGAAATTTCAAAAATTTTTCCTGAAAACTATCAGAATAGCTCTTGTGATTTCAGAAATTTTTTAACTTCTCTGTTGAAGACAAATGTAGATGCGGTGATAGCTTCCATTGGAAGTTCTTATGTTCTGATAATACTAAAGAACTGAAGGAGCTGTACAGGGTGTCTCAAAATCTTCAAGCCTAATCAACTTACTTTTTGGTAACTTTGTTATCACTTCTCGCTTTCCAGTGAATGTTTGCTTATGAGTTTTTTGTTTGATTGTTAATAATTCTACAAAAAATCATATCGGCTGCATTCTACATTCTCGAAATACAGTTCTTGCCGTGGACACTACTACGATTTTGAGGTCAAGCCGATGAAAATGTGCTCACTGTTCAACACATCTACCTCTTTCGCCTTTAAACCTCATGCGAAACCTTGAGTTGCAGATTGTAAAGCTAGTTTCACTCTACATTCACAGTGCAAAATCAGTCACCAGTCTGTCTGTAGGATTAATATACAAATATTCAAAGCAGTGCCGCGCCACTGAGAAAAAAAGTTTTGAACAAAAATTCGAAGAAGCTAAAAATTCTGATACCAAATCAGACTGAGTCTAAGTTTAACTTTGAGCCTTGCATATTTTACAGGAATATTGATTTTAATTCACTCCGGTTACATCATAATTGCTGTCTTCTTGATGTTCTCAAGAGATTGATATACATTTTGACGCTTTTGCAAAATATCACAGATATACTTTACAAATTGGCGTGCCTTCAATAGCCGGGTAAGAAGCTTTTGACATTTTGTGATTTTTTAATAAAAAGGAAGGATTGCTCTGTTTCGCACTAAATTTTGGACAGTTTAGACGCTTACTTCAGATGGTGTGATACAGTTTTGAATTTAGCTATCGGTCTGCCACGGCGCATGCGTTCCGCAAGCGTCTGGGGCCTGTTAAAGACCAAAATTTTTTTTCGATATATGAGTGTACCTAGTAATTTTGTAGATTCGTCACAAACTACATGCTATATCTTCATGTGTCTGTGTAGCTTCGTACAGTTTCAGCCAAAAAAACACCAAGCTTAAAGACTTTCGGAAGATGCTGTAGAATTGCTGGTTTTTCACTCCCCCATTTAAAAGCCTAAACATGTGTCTCTGATCTGAAAGTTGAAACTTGATAGACTAAAAAAAACTTGCATTCTTAACTCAATCCTTCTAGTCATTATCTTGAAGACTTGAAGAAAGTTTTGGTCACCTTTTACTAATCTTGGGTTTTTTTGAACGCAAGAATAGTAGTAGCTAGGATAGAGAGCTTGGATTTGTGCGACAATGGAATATTTCAAAACGATCAAATTTGGCAATAAATGATATCTGAACTCTTTCCATCACCTCAATAAAGACTTTCTAAAGAGGAGGACTAAAGTGGAGTGCAATAATTCAATAGGAGACGAACGTAGATGAAAAGAAGGCAAAAGGGAATTTTTACAGCAGTAGTTTTCTGCAACGACAATATCTCGTATGTATTTCTCAAATTTTAGGTTACCAGAGTAGGTTACAGTGAAGTCCCTCGCGCTGCTCACTGTTCAATTTTCATGTCTCAATACGAAAGCAACACGGGGAATGCGCAAATCCAATCGCAACAATAAAGACGCGAAAATGTCAAGCCCCCATTTTTCGGATTACTCCCTTATCGCATCTGAAGCGCGCTGCATCACATTAGGGTCATCATAGCAGGAAAACTTTGTGTCATCAGCATATATAGAACAGTTGGGGAAATTAGGTAATGGAGAGGCATATGGTTGAGAAACAACAGATGGTACTTGAGTGTTAGACATCTAAGAAGGAAAAAGAGAGAAAACACCCTCACTCTGAATACTAAGCTCATAGCTTCAACAAAATGCTCG